TTCATAGCATTGTGGTCTGAAAGTGTGCATGGTATGATCTCAATTCTTGTATACTTATGAAGGGCTGTTTTGTGACCCAGTATGTGATCTATCTTGGAGAATGTTCCATGTGCACTCAAGAAGAAAGTATATTCTGTTGCTTTGGGATGCAGAGTTCTAGATACATCTGTCAAGTCCATCTGATCCAATGTATCATTCAGGGCCATTGTTTCTTTATTGATCCTGTGTCTAGATGATCTATCCATTGCTGTAAGTGGGGTATTAAAGTCCCCTGCAATTACCACATTCTTATCAATAAGGTTGCTCATGTTTGTGATTGTTTTACACATTTGGGGCCTCCTTATTCGGAACATAGATGTACAATTGTTAGCTCTTCCTGATGGATAGACCCTGTGATTATTATAAAATGTCCTTCTTCATCTTTTGTTACAACTTTTAATTTAAAGTCTAGTTTGTCTGATATAAGTATGGCTACTCCAGCTTTCTTTTGACTTCCACTAGCATGATAGATAGTTCTCCATCCCCTCACTTTCAATCTGAAGGTGTCCTCAGGTCTAAAATGAATCTCTTATCGACAGCAAATAGATGGGTCTTGTTTTTTTTATCCATTCTGACACCCTATATCTTTTGGTTGGAGCATTCAGTCCATTTACATTCAGTTTTACTATAGAAAGATATGGGTTTAGAGTCATTGTGATGTCTGTAGGTTTCATGCTTGTAGTGATGTCTCTGGTCCTTTGTGGTCCTTGCAACATTTCACTCACAGAATCCCCCTTAGGATCTCTTGTGGGGCTGGTTTAGTGGTGATGAATTCCTTCAGTTTTTGTTTGTTTGGGGAAATCTTTATCTCTCCTTCTATTCTGAATGACAGGCTTGCTGGATAAAGGATTCTTGGCTGCTTTTTTTTTTTTTTTTTTTTTTTTTTCTGTTCATCATATTGAAGATTTCCTGCCATTCCTTTCTGTCCTGCCAAGTTTCAGTAGATAGGTCTGCTACTACTATTATGCGTCTACCTTTGTAAGTTAGAGCCTGTTTATCCCTAGCTGCTTTCAGAATTTTCTCTTTATCCTTGTATTTTGCCAGTTTCACTCTGATATGTCGTGCAGATGATCGATTCAAGTTACGTCTGAAGGGGGTTCCTGTGCCTCTTGGATTTCAATGCCTTTTTCCTTCTCCAGATTAGAGAAGGTCTCAGCTATGATTTATTCAAGTACACCTTCAGCCCCTTTTTCTCCTTCCTCCTTCTGGAATTCCCATGATATGGATATTGTTCCGTTTCATTGCATCACTTAGTTCTCTAATTCTCCCCTCATACTCCTGGATTTTTTTATCTCTCTTTTTCTCAGCTTCCTCTTTTTCCATAATTTTATCTTCTAATTCACCTATTCTCTCCTCTGCCTCTTCAATCCGTGCTATGGCCGCCTCCATTTATTTTTCACCTCATTTATAGCATTTTTTAATTCATCTCTGTTGCAATAGATTCTCTGATGGCCTCTGTGCTTTCTTCAAGCCCAGTGATTAATTTTATGACCATTATTATAAATTCTTATTCCGTTATATTGTTTAAATCGGTTTTGATTAATTCATTAGCTGTCGCTACTTCCTGGAGCTTCTTTTGAAGAGAGTTCTTCCATTTTGTTATTTTGGGTAGTCGCTGTGGTAACTCCAAACTGTAGGCCACTTCTTGTGCTATCAGGAGTGACTTGTGTGGTGGGCGAGGCCGCAGTCAGACCCGATGTCTGTCCCCAGCCCACCGCTGGGGCCACAGTCATACTGGTGTGTACCTTATCTTCCCTTCTTCCAAGGGCAGGACTCACTGTGGAGTGGTGTGTCCCCAGTCTGGGCTACTTGCACACTGCCAGGCTTGTGCTGCTGCTTCAATGGGATATGGCCAAGGGCGTATTAGCCGGGGTGGATCTGCAAGGTGCAGAGGGGTGGGAGGGGCAGGCTTAGCTAGGTTTGCCATGGGTGGTCCCCTGTGGGAGAAACCCTGCAGCACGGGGAGGGAGGCAGGCCCGTCAGAGGCGTGGATACATATAAGAACAGCGTTGGGGGGCGCCTGGGTGGCGCAGTCGGTTAAGCGTCCGACTTCAACCAGGTCACGATCTCGCGGTCCGCAAGTTCGAGCCCCGCGTCGGGCTCTGGGCTGATGGCTCAGAGCCTGGAGCCTGTTTCCGATTCTGTGTCTCCCTCTCTCTCTCTGCCCCTCCCCCGTTCATGCTCTGTCTCTCTCTGTCCCAAAAATAAATAAATGTTGGAAAAAAAATTTAAAAAAAAAAAAAAAGAAGAAGAAGAACAGCGTTGGGCATTTGCACAGTGCAAGCAAGTTTGGTGAGGGGAACTAGTTCCCTTTGGAATTTCAGCTGGGAGATGGGAGAGGGAAATGGCACTTCCCAGCGCCTTTGTTCTCCTGCCAAGCTGAGCTCTGTGTTCTGGGGCTCAACAACTCTCCCTCCCAGTGTCCTCTCGCCCTCCCCGCTCTCTGCGAGCAGAGCTGTTGACTTTTAACATTCCAGATGGTAAGTCCCACTGGCTGTCAGAACTCATAGGGTCCGGCCCCTCTGCTTTTGCAAGCCAGACTTCGGGGGCTCTGCCTTGCCAGGTGGGCTGCCCCTCCACCACCCCAGCTCCCTCCTACCAGTCCGTGTAGCACGCACTGCCTCTCTGCCCTTCCTACCCTCCTCCATGGGCCTCTTGTCTACGCTCAGCTCTGGAGAGTCCGTTTGACTAGTCTTCTGGCAGTTTTCTGGGTTATTTAGGCAGATGTGGGTGGAATCGAAGTGATCAGCAGGACGAGGTGAGCCCAGTGTCCTCCTATGCCACCACCTTCGATTTAATCTAATAATTGTTTTTAAAGTATACTAGATGTTAAATGTTCTTAACATTCTTTTTCCAGTCTATACGAAAACAAGAGTGGACTGCAATCATTCCAAATTCCCAGCTAATTGTCATTCCATATCCTCACAATGTTCCTCGAAGGTAATGCCCTTGCTTGAACTGATTTTGGTAAAAATGCTGTCAATTCAGAATCATAGAAACAGTTACATCTTTTAAAAACTCTGTCTCTATTCCTGCTGTGTTCCCATGAGTGCCATCATTTAATTTGCTTACAGCAAACCTTAAATGACTAAACATTCCTACACAAAAGGTCCCTGACTTTTTTTATGGAAAACAAATTAAACCCTATTAGAAAAACAGCAGGTTAACTAATTAGGGATTTATACATATTCTGATTAAATAAACTGATCTTCAGTTCACTAGCTATAAATTCTAAAATTTCAGAGTGCTGAATTTTTCAATAAGCATTGATCTTTTTAATAAATGCTTAGAGAAGTGGTATATATCCCACAGTGGTTAGGCACACGTTTTGGAGTCAAACAGACCTAAGCTAGAAACTAAGACCCACTGCTGATGGTCAATTTCTGCATTTGTGAAGTGGGAAGTAGAACACCTACCTTAAAAAGATGAAGATGAAATATGTTTAAGACAGTGCCCAGCACAGAGTAAATTTTCAGTGAAAGGTAGATGTTTTTTATCTTTAGCAGAATATATTCCTCCTGTAATAATAGCATTTAAATCTAACTCCTTATCTTTGTTCATTTTTCTTTAAAATACTAGATTCATTCCATCATTTTTAAAAAGTAGGTAATGAAAGTATTCACTAACACTTGTTTCATTGGAAAGAATACAAGTTGTCCTTAAAGTTAGTCTGATATCAGTTATGGAAAATAGCCAAAGAGGAAGGGTGTCATTTATCTATGAATATGTAACCAGCAGGATGCTGTTTTGTTACATTTCTTCTCAAAATCCAGGCTGTATTGTTCTTTATTAAATTTTTCAATGGAATATATTCAATGGCTTGCTAGAACCAGCTCATGCCATCTCATGAGCTGATGGTATGCGTCTTTTTCCCACTCTGTTCAGTGAGGTAACATTAAAATCAGCTATGATGGGAGTATTTACAACATGAAAATTGGCAACTGCCAATAAGGTCTTTTTTCCCCACCCCAGAGAGCCACTTTACCAGCTCACTACAGGATATATTTTATGGTAGATTTAAGGGCTTTAGAAGCAAACTACTTAAGAAAACAACTTTATCACAACATTAGGCATGAAATAAGATAACATCAGTAGAGGGGCACTTGGCTAGCTCCGTCAGTGGACCACATGACTGGATTTTGGGGTTGTGGGTCAAGCCCCATGTTGGGTGTAGAGATTACTTAAAAATAAAATCTTTTTAAAAAGAGAGAACATCTCTAGAAACAGTTATAGTCTGAGTTCAGATATTTTTTAATGAGTCTATATTATGTGTTTGTTACTTTTTTATACATGAAATTTATAACAAAACTAAAAAATCTGCACTATGCATAGGAAACTATATAAATTATGGTACTTCTATATGGTCTAATATCGTGACACAGAACAATCTCTTAAAATAGAGTGGTAAGCAAAAGACAATAAAAGGGAAATGCATTTAGAGTATGTACAATAAGCAACCATTTGTGATTTGAAGAAGATATTTGTGCATATATGTCTATGTATGTATAGATATCTCTGGAAGGATGCAGGAAATTGGTAAGAACTGATTGCTTCTGAGTAAGAAACTAAACATTGGCCTTTTGTCCATATTTTTTCTTACCAAGATTTTTTTCTTACGTCTTTTCATTTTTTTGTTGTTTATTTTAAAAGAACTACCAAAAAAATCTCATGAAAGAACTTTTTTTTTAAGTATGAAGTAAGGTACTGAGAATAACTAACCTCAACTAACAGTATTCATTTTCTTGGTTTTCTTACTTTTGAATTTTGGAAAATTCTGTTACAGTTTTCTTTTATAATCTCAACATTTTTCATGTTTCTCTTGCTCTTTCTGAAGAAATGTTCTTTTCAAATTTATGTACATAATAAAAACGTAATTGATTTTAGTTTGAGGTGTATTTTGAGATTTATTGACTAGAGGCTAACTTACAGATCAATAAATTTTAATTATCCCAAAATAAGTCAATTACTACTTGCTATTCATCGGAATGATCTTACTTTTATTAAACTTTTAAAATAAAAATAGGCTAAATATATTTTTTAAAAATCCATGTATATGCTTCCTATAAGAGACTCCCCTCAGATGTAAAGTCACACATACTGAAAGTCAAAGGAAGGAAAAAAGATGTTTCATGCAAATGGAAACAAAAAGAAGCTGGGTAGCTATATATATATACATATATATATGATATATACATATATATATATCAGACAAAATATTTTAAAATAAAGACTTTAATAAAAGACAAAGAAGGGCATTACATAATAACACAAGAGTCAAAAAAAACCCAGAGGATATAATAATTGTAAATATTTACGCACCCAGCATAGGAAAACCTAAATATATAAAGCAACCATTAACAGACCTAAAGGGAGAAATTGACAGTAATACAATAATAGTAGGTGACTTTAAAATGAAAATATATCCATCATCTATTTTCAGGGAGAATAAAATTCTTTGTATATAACCACCTGCAGTGTTGGTGATATAGAGCTTAAGCTTTTCAAGGTTTGCAAGTGCCATATTACGTAGTAGGGAAAGAGCTAGTTCTATTTATGCTAAAGTCTGTATATTGTCATTAACACTGAGGGACTAAAAGTGATTTTGTAAGAAGTCTCAATGTCATTGTGGTAATGTAAACCCTCCAACATGGCTCAGAAATGGTAGAAGTGTTTTTACACAAGCCATCTATACCCACTTAGTTATATGGCTGTTTTAGTTGGCCATGGTACATATATGAACAAGGATCAGAAAATAAGGTGACATGATATCAAAATTATGTAGTCTTGAAGTTCAAGTTTGCAAATTCAGCAAGTAAATCAAGACATAAAAACAATCTCTAAGATTGTCCTAAGTACCCTTAATAAGTTCACTTAAGAATAATTCTCACAGGATCAAAGAAAAATAATGAAGCATCTCATCAAAAATTCTATTCTGTTTCAGTTCTCTGAGTGAAATCTGAACTCTGTAGGATCATTAGTATTCTTAGCCCTATCTAAATTTAAGTGCTGTTGTTTTATTTATAGTGAATGGATAGTTGGGAGAATGAATTAATTGATGAATCAACTGTTTCATTAATTAATAGCTATTTGCTTTTGGGTCTCAGTAGAATTTTGTGATTTTTCATTTAAATGTGTAATTTTAATGATTCTGTTTTATCTACAGCTGGAGTGCCAAGCTGTACCTTACACCAAGTAACATCGTCCTACTTACTGCTATAGCTCTCATCGGTGTCTGTGTTTTCATCTTGGCAATAATTGGCATTTTACATTGGCAGGAAAAGGTTTGTTCATTTAAATGAAACATTAACTTTTGTTAACTTAGAATAGTAATACATTGCTCTCTAAAAACATTATATTTTAAACTTTTTTCAAGTAACTAAGATTTTCTGATTTTTCACATTCTGTCCATAATGTCATCTTACTGATAATTTCTTTCATCCTCTCAACTTACAAATGTCTCTTAACAATTCATACAAATCACAGAAAATTATTTTAAAACTTCAATGCTGTATAATAGTAATAAAATGATCACCCAAAAATTACCAGAAATATAGAAAAACTTAATTAGAAACAATTTCATAAAGTCCTGAAAAATAATTTTTTTTAACAAGCCTATGTTTATGATCTACTTAGAGCCATGAACCCTTTTTTCCAGGAATAACAGCTATCTCTATATAAAGAATTGAAACACAGACAAGTTAAATGATTTTCTCAAGGTTTGGGTGGGAAGTAACAACTAAAATGATAAACATCTTTTCTATTTGTAAAGTATTCTTTGCACTAAACATATTTCTATTCTTTAGTATAACTCCTAAATAATTAAAAACAACACTCCAAAAACATAGTTTTTCTTTATACAGTGTTTATGAGGAGGAAAGAAGAGGCTATCACATAAATTTACTAGCAGTTAAGATATAAATTGAAAAACCAATTTCTATGAAAATGTGAATATGAATTAAATACATGTGTTAATAGGAATATATATTAAAGTATATAACTAGCAGGTTCCAACAATGTTCCCCAAAAAAGTCTTCTTTATGTCATACAACTTTTTTTTTGTAACTACTCTCTTTGGATTGTCATGCCCATTATAATTATTTTTTATTAACTAAATGTACCATGTGTTTTAGCTGTTTTAACTTATGAAAAAGAGAAAAATTTAACTGTTCTGATAAATTTTCATAGGTTTGTCTCTCCCCAAAAATTACTCCTTTCCATCAAAAATCATAACAGAAACTTACATATTGAGTTAATTTTAAGATTGCAACTTAAGAAGTAAAATAAAGGGCGATCCTACATATTTTTTTTTCCAGAAGTATCAGAACACAGTCTGAAGTATTAAATAGCTCTAGACCTATAAAGGAAGGGAAATTAATTTCATTAATTCCTCAGATCATCTGATTACAGGATAAACATTGTGGACTTATAATAATAATGATTCAGTGACTGAAAATTGAAGTTTTAAATACAGATGTGGATTTAACCATATATATATATACTCCACTCTGGTACTGTGGTTCTTCTACCTTTCTGACCACTTCTCTTTCACCTATGCTGGGTGCTCCCTTCTACCATTTCCTAACTATAGTGTCTGCCTTAGGGTGTCTTCTTTGTACAGTTTTCCTGCCAATTTTATCCAAAGGCATAACTTCACACTATTACTTCAAATACCCCTAACACTCATCTCTCCCTAAAGGTCTCTTCCCCCATTTCTAGCCGTCTCCATGACATCTCTACCTAGATCACTTACAAGCACCATAAAACCAGTATTGTAGGGGCACCTGGGTGGCTCAGTTGGTTAAGCCCTTTGACTCTGGATTTCAACTCAGGTCATGATCTCAGTTTGTGGGATCAAGCCCCAGTGGAGGGCTCTGCGCTGGATGTGGAGCCTGCTTAGGATTCTCTCTCCCTCTCTCTCTCTGGCCCTTCTCTGTTTGTACACTTTCTCTGTCTCAAAAGGAATAAACTTAAAAAACAAACAATATTGTAAAGCTTTGTCTGTCTTCTTTCCTACTTAAGTATAAAATTTGATCAGTTGCCCCACTGATTCTGATTCCATAGCAATCCCTGCAGCTGACCCCACATCTGCATTCTTACTCCCAGGGGCTTTAGGTTCAGCTCCTTGTTAGGTCCTGCCTGGTCTCCCAGAGTTCATTCTTTCCCTTTCCACTTCATTGATTGCACTGCTGCCATATTATTCATCATCAAGTTTAGCCTTAATCATGTCACTCCTCTGTTCAAAAATCTCTGCCTAAAATCTGTAAACTCCTTAGCCTATCATTCTTAGAACTTCCATAGGACTCCACCATATACCTTTCCAACCTTATTTGTTACCAGTTGCTTTCAAGTATTCCATGCTTCTGCCCCACTTGGCATGATTATACCTATTTCATGCCCAGTTTGGAATGAATGCCCCTCCCCCTCATTTCCATGACTACTATCTTTTCAAAGCTTTCCCTTTCCTCACTCCAACCTAGAAGTAATCTCTCTCCCAGAATATTAGTGACATTTTTCACTTTTTTTTCCTGAAATACAGTTAATTCAATATGGTTTGCTTTTTTCTCTCTAGGCTTTAAGTTCCTTGAGAACAAGATACAAAACTGAGGATTTTTCTAATCCCTCAAAATACCAAGCACAGTACTTTGCTGGGAGTGGAAGGTCAATGAATATATGCTAAATCAATAGGTTAATGCAAAAATAATTAATGTACTTTGCTTAGATTTGCTTATAGTGTTAAGAATGGGAAAAATAGTTGGGGTGCCTGGGTGGTTCAGTTGGTTAAGCTTCCAACTCTTGGCTTTGGCTCAGGTCATGATCTCACAGTTGATGAGTTCAAGCCCCACATCAGGCTCTGCACTGATAGTGTAGAGCCTGTTTGGGATTCCCTCTCTTTCCCTTTCTCTGCCCCTACCCCGCTGGCACTGTCTCTGTCTCTCTCAAAATAAATAAACTTTATTAAAAAATAAAATAAGAAAGAATGGGGAAAATAGTTAATTCCATCCTTGTAGAATTAAATGTTTACTACTACTTTCAAATAAATAATAAATGATAACCAACTCAGTATTTAAGGAAAAGGAACATTTCTTGTTGGGTTTTTTTGTTTCTTTTTTAGTTTTTGTTTGTTTGTTTTGTTTTGTTTTCTTGAGTTTATTATCCCTTTAAAAGAAAATCTATCTTCCCCCTGGACAGTACTTTGTTTGTTTTTTTTAATTGTATTTTTTACTTTTTAAAATTTACATCCAAATTAGTTAACATATAGTGCAACAATGATTTCAGGAGTAGATTCCTTAGTGCTCCTTACCCATTTAGCCCATTCTTGTTGGTTTTTCAATTCAGTTAGTGGGTTCTTAATTATAAAATAGCTACTGTAAACTACAAAAATTTCATAACATTATTACATAATAAAATCACATCGTTTACCTACTACTGGCTTAGAGGTTTAAGATTTTTTTAATTAACATTTCAGAAATGGCTTTTATTGACATTTTCCTATCATTTATAACCTAGTCTAAAATTCTTTTTCAGAAAGCAGATGATAGAGAAAAACGACAAGAAGCCCATCGGTTTCATTTTGATGCTATGTGACTTGCCTTTAATATTATGTAATGGAACAGCTATTCACTTGATTAATTGAAATACTAAATTTGGCTGATAGAAGAAAATAGGGGATTTTGAATATTATTTATAAATGATGTATCCTTTGGTAATTATTGAAAAGTATTCAAATAAATATGGTCTGAATGTGTCACAAGGTCTTTTTTTAAAGCACTTTGTATACAAAGATTTGGGTTATTTAAATGTGCTGTATGTTTTTGTTCCTTTGTGGAATGTGTTGCATGTACTCAGGTGTTTATGTATTTATAATCTTATTAGAATAATGATGATGGAAAAAGACATGTATAAATAAAAATAAATGAGCAGGGATTTTTGTGTTCCACTTGAATTGGTCTTGCTTTTTCTTCTAACTGCAAATTATACTTTTGTGAATGTATCACAGATAAAGTTATTTCACCTTCGCCACAGTGGGCCAGGAATCACTCACTGAGGGCACACAGGGTAGTGATTGGGTACTCTGGCTTTGGAATTGCAGTCCAACAGGCTTGCCTTAAATTTCCAGTTTCACCAGTCACAAGGTGATTGAATTTGGCTAATTGCTTAATCTGTGAGCCTCAGTTTTCTTGTTTACAAATGGGGCTAAGAATACTACTTACTTGAGTTTGTAAACATCAAATGGGATGATGTATGTGAAGTGCTTAGCTTGGTTCCTAGCACAGAGTTAGTGCTCAATTAAGTGGTAGTTGTCATTGTTACTATTTTTAGATTTGCTTTTTACAGACTTCTACAACTAATTATCAAAATATATAGACTCAATAGAATTTTATTTTCAGGCATGAAGAAATCATATTCTTTGGAAAGCCTAAATTCTTAGGGTGGTTGACATCTTATATAACAATTTATTACTTGCTCGTATTAACTACAAATGATAGTACCCTCCAAGAATTAACGTGCACTAAAAATTTTCTTTTGAACACTGATCCTAATCATGTGATAATGAAGAGTATTTGATTTCTTGAAAGTAAACTGCTGTAGATAGCATCTGAGAATGCAAATCTTCAACCACATTTTTATTCTCAAAAGCATTCTCTAATTTACACTCACACTTCAGTGCAAATTTTTGTGAACTTCACCTCACCAAAAAGTTACCCTAAGATTTAAACCTAAGACTGGGAAAAGTTTATATGTCAGTGCTAATGATTGTCTAATGTGCAAATGGACATATGATGCCTATAAAACACAAAAACTTACCCCCCAAAATTTAATTTTGTTCTTTGTGTTATTTTTTTCTTTACAATTCACTGGGAATGGCATGTGTATAAGTGGTTTACTTTGTGTATCTATGCATGTTAATATGTCTCCTTAATAAATACTGTGTATTGAAACAAAGTATTTTGGTGAATTTGTAAATATTTTGTAAGTAATTATAAAGTCTAAATCACCTTTTGGACCATGAGACAGAGGAAAATTGATTCACCCATTGCCTCCTTGTGAGCTCATGCAAGATAAGAATCCCCTGACTACAGTACTCAGTTAAATTCACTAAACAGTTATCAACAGCAATACTGTGCCAGGCACTATTCCACGCTGTCCCTAAAGACTGTTAGGCTGAGTATCTATAAATTGATACAGCATGAGGTTTAAAACTCACTTGGGAGTCAGGATATATGGAGGAGTAGTGTTATAAGCAAACCAAATGTTAAAAAGAAAAAAAGAAGAGAAAGGAATACTTCACAATTCCTTTAATAAGGTCAACATTTCCCTAACACTAAAACCAAGTACATTACAAGAAAATAAAACTACAGGCCAATATAGATGCAAAACTCAACAGAACATTAGTTAATTGTATCCAGAAATATGTAGACAGATAACATGTAATAATCAAATGGGTTTCCTCCAGAATGCAAAACTAATTTCACTATTTGAGGTAAAAAAAAAAAAAAAAAAGCAGTATAACTCACCATACTAATAAATCAGAAAAACCATCTTTTATCCTCTCAATAGACACAGAAGGAAAATTTAACAAATTTAACATCATTCCTGATTAAAAAAAAAAAAAATCTAGGCAAACTATGAATAGAACTTCCTTCACCTTAAGGGGCATTTTTTTTTTATCTGCAGCTAATGATGTTTTTTAAATCTGAGCTAATCTGCTCACATACTTAATGGTGAGAGACCAAATGCTGTCTCCCAATGACTAGGAACAAGGCAAGGATGTCCTCTCCCACTGATAGCTTTCCACATAGTCCTGGAAATTAATAATCCAAGAAAATGAAACAAAAGGCATACAGATTGAAAAGGAAGAAATAAAACTGTCCCTATTAGATGACATGAGTGCCTAGAAAATTCCCAAGAATCTATACACCCACACAACCTCCTAGAACTAAGTGAATTCAGCAAATTCGTGGTCAACACAATCATTTAAGTTTATTTATCTTTGAGAGAGAGAGAGAGAGAGAGAGAGTGTGTAAGTGGAGGGAGGGCAGAGAGAGAGAGGTAGACAATCTGAAGCAGCCTCCAGGCTCTGAGCTGTCAGCACAGAGCCCAATGCGGGGCTTGAACCCATGAACCATGAGATCATGACCTGAGCTGAAGTCAGACGCTTAAATGACTGAGCCACCTAGGTGCCCCAACACAATCATTTCTATATAAACACAATGAAACTCTTATGTGGAACTATTAACAAAGCATGCATGGGATCTGTATGCAGAAAACTATAAAATGCTGATGAATCAAGGAAGACTTGAATGTAAAGACTGTGTTCATGGGTTGGAAGATTCAATCAAGCAAAGATGTAACACTCCCCAAAGTGATCTATAGATTTAATCCTTATCAAAATCCCAGCAGTTGTTGTTTTTGTAGAAATAGACAAGATTATTGTAAAATTTATATAAAAGAGTAAAGGAACTAAAGTAGCTTAAAATAATTTTGAAAAAGAAGGCAAAGTTGGAGGAATCAAACTATCTGATTTTAATACTTACAATAAGTCTTAGAATAAAGTTATAGAAATCAAGATAGTGTGGTATTGACAAATAAATAGAAGAGCAATGGAACAAAGTAGAGGGTCCAGAAAGAAACCCACACAAATATAGCCATTTGATCTTTGACAAAAGTGTAAAAGTGATTAGGTGGAAGACAGTCTTTTCAACAGATAGTGCTTGAATAATTGGTCAGATATATGCAAAGAGAAAAAAGGGACCTTGACCTAAACTTTCATACCTTATATGATAAATAACAAAAATACCTCATATGATAATATGATCATAAACTTAAGTGTAAAGCATAAAACTATAAGACTGTTAGAAGAAAACATAGAAGAATATCTTCATGAACTGGGGTTAGGCAAAGTGTTGTTAAAAATGACACCAAAAGTATGATCCATAAAAGAAAATATTGACAAATTTGACTTCATCTAAACTAAAAACATTTTCTTTGCCAAACACTTTCAAGAGTATGAATAGACAAGCTGCATATGGGAAGAAAATATTTACGAATCATATATCCGAAAATGGGCTTGTATCCAGAATGTATAGTAAACTCTCAAAAGTCAACAATAAATTAAAATATATACAATTTAAAAGTGGGCAAGACACATTACTAAAAAAGATATGCAAATGGCAACTAATCAGATGAAAAGATTTCCCACATTAGCTGTTAGGTAAAAGAATATTAAGAATCATGAAAAGATACCATTACACACCTATTATAACAGCTAAAACAAAAAATACTGACAATTCCAAGTGCTGACACGGATGAGGAACAACTGGAGCAAACTGGAATTCTCACATATTCCTGGTAGGAATATAAAAGAATAAAGCGACTCTGGAGAACACTTTGGTAGTTTCTAAAATCAAACACAGGGGCGCCTGGGTGGCGCAGTCGGTTAAGCGTCCGACTTCAGCCAGGTCACGATCTCGCGGTCCGTGAGTTCGAGCCCCGCGTCAGGCTCTGGGCTGATGGCTCAGAGCCTGGAGCCTGTTTCCAATTCTGTGTCTCCCTCTCTCTCTGCCCCTCCCCCGTTCATGCTCTGTCTCTCTCTATCCCAAAAATAAAATAAACGTTGAAAAAAAAAAAAATTTTTTTTAAAAATAAAATCAAACACATTTTTATATATGCATTGAATATATAATTTATATCAGATACAAAATAGATTTTAAAACAGGTAACATTTATAAGAGCATCAAATAAAATCAACTATACAGGAATCAATAACACAAGTTGCATCACATCTCAGTGGGGTTTATAAAACTTTCTTGAGGAAAATTAAAGAAATCTTCAATAAATGTACATCTGTACCATATTTGTGGACAGGATGACAAAGTATTGTAAAGATGTCAAATCATCTCCAACTCCACTCAATATCCCAACAGATTTTTGTTGTTGTTGTTGCTGCTAAACTTGATAAGCTGTTTATAAAATGCATATGGCAATACAAAGGGCCAAGAATAGCCAAGACTATCTCGAAAAAGAACAAGAACTGGGGCGCCTGGGTGGCGCAGTCGGTTAAGCGTCCGACTTCAGCCAGGTCACGATCTCGCGGTCCGTGAGTTCGAGCCCCCCGTCGGGCTCTGGGCTGACGGCTCAGAGCCTGGAGCCTGTTTCCGATTCTGTGTCTCCCTCTCTCTCTGCCCCTCCCCCGTTCATGCTCTGTCTCTCTCTGTCCCAAAAAAAAAATAAATAAAAACGTTGGAAAAAAAAATTAAAAAAAAAAAAAAAAAGAACAAGAACTTACTCTATCAGATATCAAAACTTAACATAAAGTTATGATGATTAATACAATGTAGTATTAGCAAAGAGACCGGTGGATTCAAGACCTAAATGTGAAATGCAAGTTTATAAGCTTTTAGTATTTTTAACATACATAAATAAGTTCATGATCCTGGGGTAGGGATGGGTTTCTTATTCAAGTCACTCAGAATACTATAAAGTAAAATTTTATATGTATAGAGCATATTAAAATTAATATCTTCCATTCACCACAGACACTATTAAAAGGGGAAGAAAAGCCATAAAATTAAAGAAAATATTTCAACACATATAAGTGATTAGTATCCAAAATAAAGAAATTCTACAAAATGATTTTAAAAGCCCAGTAAAAAAATTGGGCAAAAGTTTTGAACAGGTCATTCACCAAAAAAAGAAATCCAAGTAGCCAATAAACATATAAAAAGGTGTTCAAATTAAGGGAATGCAAATTAAGCAAACAAACAAAGCATCAGAAACAGGAACAAATTGGTGGCTGCCACAGAAGAAGGAGTGAGGGGATGGGCAAAATAGGTAAAGGGGATTAAGAGGTACAAACTTCCAGTTCCACAATAACTGTTATGGGATGAAATGTACATCAGAGAGAGTAAGGTCCATAAGATTGTAATAATGGTGACAGATGGTATCTACATTTATCATGGTGAACATTTTGTAACGTATACAATGATCAAATCACTATGTTGTACATCTTAAACTAATATTGTATGTCAGCTATACTTCAATTTAAAAAAAGGAGAGGGGCAACTGAGTGGCTCCGTCAGTTAGGTGTCCGACTTTGGCTCAGGTCATGATCTCACGATTCGTGAGTTCGAGCCCCACATCCGGCTCTGTGCTGACCGCTTGGGGCCTGGAGCCTGCTTCAGATTCTGTCTCCCTCTCTCTCTGCCCCTCCCCCGCTCACACTCTGTTCCTCTCTCTCTCTCTCAAAAATAAAACGTTTAAAAAATTTTTAAAAAGAGAAAAATAGTTATGTTCCATGAGAAAAAAAAAAAAAGGAAGGAAATGAAGAATAGTAATAAACTCTGGGGAAATAAGAGAAGATTATAATCAGGCACAAGCACATGGGGAGCTTCAGGGTATAAGTGAAGCTTTATTTCTTGATCTAGGTTGTGTTTACATGGCACTTAGCTTTATAATTAACAAACATACATGTTTGTTTCAGACAGTTCTCTGAATAAGTATTATATTTCACAATTTTTTTTCCTTTTCAAATTTGTATTTAAATTCTAGTTAGTTAACATACATTGCAATATTGGTTTCAGGAGTAGAATTCAGTGATTCATCACTTACATACAATACCCAGTGCTCATCACAAGTGCCCTCCTTAGTATCCATCACCCATCTAGCTCATCTCCCACCTACCTCTCTTTGTCAATCCTGTTTGTTCTTTTTTTAATGTTTATTTTGGAGAGAGAGAGGGAAAGCATGAGCAGGGGAGGGGCAGAAAGAGGGGGGACAGAGGATCTGAGGCGGGCTCCATGCTGATAGCAGTGAGCCCAACATGGGGCTTAAACTCATGAACAAACCCCCAGATCATTACCTGAGCTGAAGTAGGATGCTCAACCGACTGAGCTACCCAGGTGCCCCTGTTCTCTGTCTTTAAGAGACAGAGA